CAATATACAAATATCTGTATTGTATATAATTTTATAATTGTATGTATTGTATAATGTATAGTGTAATTATATAATTATATATTAATATCATGTGTAATTATATAATTACATAATTGTATAATGTAATATACAAATATCTGTACTGTATATAGTTATATAATTGTATGTATTGTAAAATTATATATAATATATAATTGTTGTATATAATTAAATAATTGCATGTACTGTGTAGTTATGTAATTATATAATTGTATACATTATTATACCCATTGTACAATATAATATATTATACAATTATACAATATAATTCTATATATTGTATAATTACATAATGGTATTATCTTTACAAACGAGTGACGTCAGTAGAGAATAGAAAAGGATAGAAAATTCCCGACAACGTTTCCTTCCTGTCACGTACTTCGAGCGATATTATGCGGCCAGGTTGCGCTTGCAGAATGTACAGGCATTCCAGCCCTCCGGGGTAGTTCTGAGGATATCCTGGAGAGGTGAGAACTTGCCCTTGTGGTGTCGCCCGGAGGATGCCACCGCAGGTCTGCGGCTCGGTCTTCCACGAGGCGCGGAAACCTTTCCTCTCCACGGACGAGTCCGTGCTGAACTTGATGATCATGAAGTTCGAGGCGGACACGAACAGTTTGTTGGTGAGCTCCTGCTTGCCGGACAGGGTCGCCAAGTTCACAGACTTCTCCTCTGTTCTGCCGCCAACCAGGATCTGCACTATGTCGAAGCTTTTCTCCGTCTCGAATTCTTGGAACTGCCGGGGGCACATGATTCTTTTACACATTTGCAGAATAATATTTCATCGATTCGATACTTTCAACATAATTTCGCACATTTTGCTGGGATTATTGAAATTTCTTCTCACCCCCCCTCCCCCCTCCCCCTCCCCCCTCCGTCCTTGGCCAAAATATATAGGCATGACGTCGAAAGCAGGGGGGGCGTTGTACCTGTAACAGGATGTTGTGTCCTTGAGGGCCTTCCAACGTCCACTTGCAGTTGCTGAGGGGCGCGTACTTGTGCGGGTAATTGGGGCTCTCGACCACGTCCCCGCTGCTTGCCATGTAGAACTGGCAATTGGCCGGGCAGTCTATCTCGTCGGAGAAGTCGCCGCAGTCGTCTTGTTTGTCGCACTTGAACGCCCCGTTCACGCACTTTCCATTGGAACAGTGGAAAGAGCCTACGATCGATCAGGCAAATGATGCAATACGTATAAGCGATGAATGTTAGGTGTAAAGTTTAAGAGCTAATAGCGATTAGATTAGAGATCAAGTGAGATTGAGCGATGTACCAGCTGGGCAAGCGTTGGCACGGCACATGAAAGGGAGCAACGACTCGCACGTGGTGAGCTCCCACGTTTGTCGGTCATCCGTCAACGCGACGTCCACGCATTCACCTGATTGCGGATTCGGTTGCCTCGGCGCCCAGAAACCTGAATACCAAAAGAATCAGTTCAGAATCGCCTGCTCGCGGAATTTTAACGAGAACATACGGCCGTTCGTTCGAAACGAATCTAGGAAATTTAGGAATATTGCTCCGAGAGTATCCGTTTAAAACTAGAAATTAAATCAAAGTGGTCAAAATTACCAATTTATAATTTTTCTTAGACATTCCGTAGACGTAGAAACAGTGTGTTTCTAAAAATTTACAAAGAATTTT